AATCAAAAGAAATAATTCAAGGGTGAGTCAATAGTGTGTGAATGCTGAGTTCAGGCTAGTGAAATACTGCATACTCCCACTCAGACATCTGAGCCTTTAAGGCATGTAATTTGTTAATAAACACTAAAGAGTATTTATATTAATAAAAAAGTTAATCAAAAGAAATAATTCAAGGGTGAGTCAACAGTGTGTGAATGCTGAGGTCGGCTAGTGAAATGCTTTTGGTAACTCACCAAGATTGCCTCCCCATATTTGAGAAGTGGTATTTTTATTTTTTACAGTTTTTAAAGGTTCTTGCATAACACCAGAGTTATGAATAGAACATGTTTGGAAACATTGATCTAGAACATCTTTTACAAATTCTTCTTTTGTATAATTGTGATTTAATCTTCAAAATCATTAGTACTAAAAGTAAGTTATACTATCTTGATAAAATAATTTCTTTAATCATGACTTGATCTTTAAAATCTTTAGTATTAATATTAATTCAGGATATCTTTTTACAAGTTATTTTGTTTAATCATCTTTAAAATTTTTAGTTTTAACTGAAAGTCATGATATCTTTTGATAAGTTGTAGTTTAACTATATACAGGCTTGGTCAGTTTGACCAGCTATGTAACCACCAAGTAAATACGAAACTATACACACTATAACGTTGGATTTTCTAAGTCAAGTGTGTCTTCACAAAATATGACAAGGTTTTAATCAACATTACAAGTCTGTTATACACAAAAAATTAGATTTTTTAATAAAGTATTTTTGTGGAAGATTTATCTTTAAATTTTTGAAGCCTTTACTGAGTGCAAGGTGATTTTCATGTTCATAATAAAAAGGTTTTTTTCATCCTAAAGTTTTCATATTTCATTTGCATAACTTGTAGAACCTCTTATATAGATATCCAAAGTTTTTAAAGTAAAACTGTATTTTATCTGTTATTTTCTCATTTGACTAACCTTGAAGCCACCATATAACAAATATATCTAATTTACCATTTTTATTTTTATAGAATGATTGCATGTTGTAACAAACAATTACAGTTATTTATCCTAAACAGCTTAAGGCTCATAATAGTTTACATCTGTTTGTCTTTGATTTTATTGTTTTATTGCTCTTTGAAACATATACAATTAATAATCCTGCCATACAAGCTATAAATCATACGGTGAACATGTATCTTAATTTACTATATTTAATGACTTAATGTTTGAGCGACTCGTGAGAATATCCTTTGGAGTAATTTTATTATTTTTTTGTTGTTGTTGTTATCTAATCTAATAACTTCCCAATGTTTACATTTTAGTTACTTTTATGACAATAGAGAAAAAATTTACAGGGTGTCTCAAAGGTACATACTGATAGTCAGAATTCACTGTTAACATTTATTTTAACAACTGTTAAACTTGTATACACATATCATACACACTTGCATATACAGTTTCTCGTGATCTCACCCTGTATTTTGCAATGATAATAGCAGTACATTAAATACATTTTTAAATTTCATATATGCACTTAGAAGACTATAATAATATGCACAAAGCAAACAATGTCCTATAACTATTATCATGCTTTGTATGCTGATTATGCTTTGCACAATATGTGTTGGCTTTTTATCTCACAAAGTAGAACCCCCTTTCAAACATTCTGCATTTGAGCTTGATTTAACTGTAAAAAGTTGTGATATGCACACTTTAACCTATAAATAGTGAGATGGTTATTAACAATCCAGCTCATCTTTTATGAATTTTTTTGTATAATCATAACTTCATCTTTCAATATTTAGTATTAATAGTAATTAAAAACTTCTGTAAGAGCTTTTATGCCATCATCTCACTATTTTGGCAAAATGGCTAGAATAGCTCTTTATTTTTTAGGGAATGTTTAGAAAAATTGTGGTGTATTTAATATCACATATATTTTAGGCACCCAGTTGGTAGTTTAGATATAATTAAATAGTTTATCAAAACTAAATCAGTACAGTTACTTTGTAAGGGACCACTGATTGTTTAGACCACCAAATAGTACTCAATAGTAACCAAGTGTTGTTGCTTTCTAAGGGACCACTGATGGTTCACACCACCAAACAGTACTCTACCCAAGATGCTACTAGTTTTCACATTTTTGGACGGGTGATGAGTGGAACTCTACATGCTAACCAAGAAGTGCACATTTTGGGTGAAAACTACACTTTGATGGATGAAGAAGATTCTCGGGTTGTCACTGTGGGAAGGCTGTGGATATATGAGGCCAGGTGGGTGATAACATGTGATCTTATCTCTTTTTTTTTAATATTCCATGGTGTTGATCATTAAGGAAGGAGGATTACCATATTCATCCTGCTCCTATTACTTGTTATCTTTGTCATGATATAAAATACTGTGTAGTTTAAATATTATTGAATAATTTGTTTTTGTGAGTGAATATTTTATTATAGTTATAATAAGAGTTAAAAGCAGACGATTGTAGGAAGTTGTGTTTGTAAGTCATTGATGTTGAGACTATTGAACGTCGCGTGCAATACATTGACATCGAGAATATAGAAGGTGGGCAGACGATTAAGTGATAGACTTATAAATAGTGTGAGATGAGCAGAAACAGCAGACAGGTAATAGTAAAAAAGAGTAAGGTTACATTCCAAGGAAATGTTTGGCGTGAAGTTAACTATGGTAGAAGTGATAGGCCTAACAACTGACATAGGCCTAATGTTTAATATGTTAGAGTAAAACTAACAGTAGAAAAAGAGATAAGAAAAATAATTTATTCAATCAAAGCATGGTTCTAAAGTAATTGAATCAGCCTGAGTGCACTTTGACAAAAGGAACAGAGGATCTTCAGAAGAAAGAAGACCAAACAATTATGGTAATGTAACAGGTTAGCGCTCAGGTGAGCTTAATTGTTGGAGTTTCAATTAAAACCAACCTGTACACCTTATTTATTTGTTGGAGGATTTGTCGGGACGAGTGGAGCCACAAGTCGCTAACTCCAGGAGTTTACAGTTAGAGTAAAGAATATGAGTCTCAGACCAGCAATACTATTTATAATATCTTTTATTACTCTTTATTACATTAGACATATTACTCAATAGTTAAACTCTTTAATCGTTACTTTAACCATTAACATTTATAACACGTCTAATAGAAAACACATATTATACAAAAGCTGATCTAGAGAAAGAGATACTTACTGGAGAGTTGGAACCTTCCTAGCTGCAGAGTCAAGATTATTGAGCTGCATAATGCTGGCTTGTAGAACTGGCTGGAGAGCTGTATACTTTCAGAACTTGCCGGAGATCTGATTTTTCAGCTCCAGACATGGGCTTATATAGCAGAATTTCTCTGTATCCTGGCGAGCATCCAAATAGGACACAGCATCACCCACAAGTAGTGCGGTGCTCCTATTGGATGCTTGAAGGCAAGTTTTGGACTGGTCCAGCACCACACCCAAAAACCCTCAAGCTATTGGTCATGGTAAACTGTTGTTAACCGGCTGCCTACTTGCTTGTGGAATCATCACGGTGCTTTGATGCAGTATCAGTTACAGTACATGGGTGTAGCAGATAAAATATAAACTTTTCTATAGCTTCTACAGTGCTAAAGAATCGAGGCCAACATCCTCTATCTTGGCCTTGTACATTGGCATTTTGTATGCAGAACAGTGATGACTAATGAGGTTGTTAACTGCCTTTACTGTGACCTCGGCCACTAACTTCTATACTTGTTTCAAAGTTTATGCACGTGCTGTGCTATTACTTACTAAGTTCTAGCCTCGTTCTTGATTACTTATCTCTCAAGGCTTATTTTTTTATAATATACAGGCATCTCCTTGTCCTCTTTAGTTTTTTATATGTCCTTCGAGTTGTTGACTCGTTATATGTCCTTCGACTTATTTATTCTCTTTCTATCTCTTAAGTTTTCATTTTAATATAACTTAGTTAATTGCTTTTATTTTATTCAAATTCACAGAAGCAATGGATGAAATTTCCTCAAAATTTCCCTTTGCTTCAGTAACTCGTGCCACAATTGTAAGTAAATCACACACAGAATATTAGTGTGATAGTAATAGAGAAGATAGTTCAGTTTGTCAACTGAAATTCTAAAAGTAATTGAGTAGGCCTAAGTCGACTTTTGACAAGAGGAAGAGAACTATATCAATAGTTCCTATGATATGCCTATAATCTCTATAATGCGAAGATTTGTTGTATATACATTTAACTTGTTCTGAATATATATTATTTTGAAAACAAGTGAAGTGGGTGCTGTTCATTTATCATTGCATTTATCGTCAACCATTCACAGACACCTACTATAGAAGAATCTTAAGCCCAACAACAACACAATGTATATATATATATATTAAGAAGTATTAGTAAATGAGAGAAAGGAGAAACTAGAAATAGAGAGAATGAGAATACAAATTGAGAAAGAAAAACTGAAAGAAGAAAATGAGAGAAAGGAGAGGCTAGAAATAGAGAAAATAAGAGCACAAATTGAGATAGCAAAACTCACCCAACTAAAGGAAAAAGGGCCCAAGAATGACAGTGGAGTCTGGGCTAGCTGACCTAAGCTGCCCAAATTTAATGAACATAAAGATGACATGGATGCTTTCTTGGAGAGATATGAAAGATTCGTCCAAAGTCAGAACTTGGACAAAGACAACTAGGCAGTTTGTCTCAGCCAACTTCTCAGGAAAAATCCTACAAGTATATGCAGACATGACATGAGAAGATGCCATGGACTACGACAAATTAAAAGTGGCTTTACTGAAACGATATGAACTTACTGAAGAAGGTTTTTTATCAGAAGTTCAGAGGAGTCAAACAAGACATTGGAGAAACTGTATTTCAGTTTGTGACATGTCTGTGGTGATATTTTACAAGATGGACTGACACGACCATGTGTAAAAATAGCTTTTAGGGACTGGTGGACCTATTAGTACATGAACAGTTCATGACCACGTATTCAACTGATGTGTCACTGTTTCCAAAGGAGAAAGAGCACCAAACGACGTAGACGAGATGATCAAGCTACCAGAGTAGTATATGGAAGCCCATGGAGGTAGTATAACTGTCAAGTTCAAGAATGTCCAGTTAAATTTGAAACCAGTAATGGCAGACCAGAAGCAGGTATTTACCAAAGGTGACAGGAGGTTAATAGAAAGGAGGGAGAAGAGATGCTATGTTTGTTGTAAAATGAGACACATTCCAAAGGAGTGGAAGTCCATCACCATCATAAAGCAGCTGGAGCTACTTACAAAGACAGTGGTCATAAGAAACAAGAAAAGAGTGACTGGCACTATGGATGCTGCTGCCAGAAGAAAGAGAATCAAGACTACTCATCCGATTCAATATGAGAAAGCATTATTGATCAGTGCACAACTGATGGTTGGCTAGTGTAGTAGTGAACTTGATCAGGCCACTAGTGTCTGTATCTGACAAGGACAACTAGTATGTGCTGACAGTAGCTGACTATGCAACACATTATCCAGAAGCAATAGAACTGGTGAAGATAGAGACAGAGAGAGAGTAGCAGAAGCCCTCCTGGAGATATTTTGCAGAGTAGGCTTTCTGAGAGAAATCCTGAGTGACAGAGGAACCCAGTTTACTTCAGAACTGATGCAGGAAGTGTGCAGACTCATCAGCACTCGGCATCTCTTTACCACCCTGTACAATCCTAGATGTAATGGACTTTGTGAGAGAGTAAATGGAGCTTTAAAGAGTATGCAAAAGAAAATGTGCCAAGAGAGACCACATGACTGGGACTGGTTCTTGCAGGCAGTATTATTTGCATTTGGAGAAGTCCCACAAGCAAGTGCAGGATATTAGCTCTTTGAATTACTGTATGGAAGAACAGTACGAGGTCCGATTCAAATATTGAAAGAGCTATGGATGGGAGAAGAAGTGTCAGAAGGAAGGACCACATACCAGTATGTGTTAGACCTCAGAAATGGACTGGAGGAGACCTGTCAACTCGCTCGACGAAGTTTTTATGCAGCTCAAGGCAGTTAGAAGCATTTCTATGACAACAAGGCCAAGGATCATCGTTTCAAGGTTGAACAAAAGGTCTTAGTTCTGCTGCTCACAGACCACAACAAACCCTGCAATGGAAAGGACCTTTTAAAGTATGAGAATTACTTAACAGAATGGAGTACAGGGTGAATGTGAATGGGAAAACCAAGATTTACCATAGCAATCTGTTGAAGAAGTATTTTGGGAGAGAAAAAGACCTAACGGGTGCAGCTATTGAAACAGAGATGGAAGATGGATGTTGCAGGTGTGGCCATCATAGATGCAGAACCAGAAGAAAGTGACTTTGTCTTAGAGGATGAGGACCTACTAGACCTAAGTGAAAAACTGACTGGCAAGTAAAAAAAAACATTACAAACCTACTGTGCCAGTATGCAGATATCTTCACAGATAAGCCAGGAAAGACAGACCTTGTGCAACACAAGATCGAGACCACAACTAGGTATCCAGTCAAAGTGAAACCCTATCTGATGCTTTATGCAATGAGAGAGCTTACAAAGCAGGAAGTTGAGGCAATCTTAGAGTCTGGAATCATTGTGCCTTCAAATTCAGCCCACTGTTCACCAGTTGTAATCGTGAAGAAGAGGGATGGATCAAACTGTTTCTGCATAGACTTCCAGAAGCTGAACCTCATGATGAAGTTTGACTCCAAAACTATGGGCAACCCAGAATCTATCATGACAAACTATATGGGGCCAGGTTCTTTTAAATGATCAACCGCAGTAAAGGTTATAGGCAAATCCCGATGGAGACGGGATCTAGAGAAGACAGCATTTGTGACACCAGATGGATGTTACCAATTTAAGTGGATGCCATTTGGGTTAGTCAATTCAACAGCCACATTCAACTGCATGATGAAGGGGATGCTGCACAACACCACAAACATCGAGCACTATGTGGATGACATTCTGACACACATTGCAAGACTGGAAGACCATCTGAAGAGACTTAGACAGCTGTTCCAGTGATAGAGGGCAGCAGGCCTTACCATCAGATCATCCAAGTGCTACATTGAATATTCTGTGGTGAAGTTTGTTGGACAGTGGGGGATTTACAGATAGGCATAGAAAAGGAAAAGTTAATCTGCATACAAGATACACCAGCTCCAATGACTAAGCAGCAAGTCAAATCCTTCTTGGGGTTAGTGGGATACTACAGGAAATTCATCCCAAATTATGTTGACATTATTGCATCATTGACTGATCTGACCAAGAAAGGCTTGCCCAACAAGGTGAAGTGGGAACAACCACACCAATGGCATTTCAGAAATTAAAGAACATGTTGGGAAGCTTTCTAATTTTTAGAATGCCAAACTTCAGCAAACCATTCATTGTTCAGGCTGATGTTTCAGACATTGAAATTGGGGTGGTACTCTTACAAGAGCATGAAGTTGGGTTGTTTCCAGTAGCATATATATATATATATAAGTAAAAAGCTGTTAAATAGTGAGAACATTATTGAACGAGAGTGTTTGGCCATCATATTTGCCATTCAGAAGTTCCAGAACTATCTATATGGGAAGGAGTTCACCATCCAGACAGACCATCAACCATTTGCATACATTCATAGGTGGAAGATTGACAACGCAAGGATCATGAGGTGGGCATTGTACCTTCAGAACTACGGGTTCCGCATTGAAGCTATCAAAGGGACTGCAAGTGATGGAGCAGACAGTATGAGCAGATTTTGTGTATGAACTAAGAACAGTCTTTGTATATAGTAAAGAAAGAAATATTCTAAATATTTTATCTTGAAGAGGGGTATATGTCATGATATAGTTTAGATATTATTGATTTATTTATTTTTGTGAGTGAATTTTTTATTATTGTTTAGTTTTTGGTTATAATAAGAGTTAAATGGAGACGATTGTAAGAAGTTGTGTTTATAAGTCCTTGATGTTGAGACTATCGATTGTCACATGCAATACATTGACATCGAGAATATAAAAAGCGGGAAGACAATTAAGTGATAGACGTATAAATAGTGTGAGACGAGTGGAAACAGCAGACAGATAATAACAAAAAAGAGTAAAGTTACAGTTTGGCATGAAGTTAACTGCTGTAGAAATAATAGGCCTAATGTTTAATATGTTAGAGTAAGACTACAGTAGAAAAGGAGATAAGAAAAAATAACTTATTCCATCAAAGCATGGTTCTAAAGTAATTGAATCAGCCTGAGTGCACATTGACAAAAGGAATAGAGGATTTTCAGAAGAAAGAAGACCAAAGATTACAGTAACTCGTGCCACAGTTGTAAGTGAATCATACACAGAATAGTAGTGAGATAGTAACAGAGAAGATAGTTCGGCCTGTCAACTGAAATTCTAAAATAATTGAATAGGCCTAAGTGGACTTTTGACAAGAAGAAGAGAACTATATAAATAGTGTTTATGATATGCCTGTAATCTCTAGTGTGAAGAATTTGTAGTACATACGTTTAACTTTTTCCGAATAAATATATATATATATGTATACAATTTTTCAAATAAACTGTATTACATCAAAAGCATACAGCCGATCGCTCAGCACTGTATAGCTCTGACAAAATTATAATCTAACTTACAATTTATTTATTGTACATGTAGATGTACACGCCAACAAGTAAGTGAACATGCCAACAAAGTTCTAATATAACAATGTAAAATTATACCATTTGTAAAAAAGTGCAAAAGGTATTATTTTAAAGTGAAAATGTCTGCAGTTATAGCTCCCAAAAGCATTTGGGATATTCCATCTATCAGACATAATCGAAACAACAGATGCAGAGCTAGTCAGCATGTAACTGAAAAAAAGGGGGGATTAGGATCTGGGTGCAAGAACAAGTGAGCAATGTAATATACCTATTAACATGTGGTATATGCAATCTTAAATATGTAGGTCAAACTACAAATCCTTTAGATCTGAGAATTCATATACAAAGATCATAAAGTAAAAAAGGTTTCCCACACTCAATTGACATAGAACATTTTAACAGAAATTACTTTTGTCATGCTAAAATTACTATCTTAGGCAAAGTTCACAATGTTGACGTTCTAACAGAAAGGGAAGAAAGAGTATTTTATATTAAAAGAGAAAAGTCTTTACCCTTATGGTTTAAGTCAGGAATTTCAAAATAAAACTACTGAATCTGTACATAAATCTAATTATATTCGACGATTGTTTTATATTGATGTCTACAATAAAAAAAACTAGGAAATGAGGGAAAGGTAAAAAATATGTAAAATGGATTAATTTTAAAGCATTTTGTAAGAAGTTGGATTCTATTTATACCAACACTAATAATATTGTTAAAGTTATTATTAAAAATATTTTTGAATTAAATTTAAAATAGATAAAATATGTATCAGGCACTGCATATACCTTTGAATTTCAAAATGTACATATTAAAGATATTGTTTTGGATTTGATTAAATTGGGATATATTCCTAATGATAAATACACTATAAAAGATAACCTAGAAAAATCATATATTTTTATAGATTTTAAACATAAAGTGTATAATGATCTTTTTTCTGCCGTCAATCATACATAAAAGTGTTCAGGAAAAAGTATTTCCTATAAAAGTATTGCAACCATCTGTTAGCTTTATATACAATAAACTGATAGGACCTTTTATTTTTACGTATAAACAATTGATTGAAAATCTTAATCCAGAAATACTGATAATTTACCTTGTAAATGTAATAATAATATATTTACTGGTTCTTTTCATAAGCATATTATTGATAATTTGAATGTGATCAAAGATATTGTTCTTATAAACATTCTAAATAAAGGAAGTAAATTTAGAATCTTAAAAACTACAAAGAATGAAATAATACAAAATATAGAAAAAAAATACTGATGAATATATTATAAAAAATTAGTGAAAATATTTATACCCCCAGGAATTTTCTTTGAATGGAAAACATTTATTATGAATAACATAAGAAAGAAGTTAAAGTATTTAAGTTTATCTAATTATACTATAGATATTCTTTTTCTATTTTTAAAAGAAAAATAAAAAAAATTCAAAAACTATTTGTGATTACTCCAGTTGATAAAACTAATAGCAACTTTGGATTTATATGTAAAATATTTTATGCACAGGTTATAATAAATGAAATTAATACAACAAAAACTTTTACTGAGTTTACTTCAGATAAAAATAGAATTATTAACAGCTTACATAAAATTATAAAAAATGGAATATACCTGTTGATTCTAAATATTTAAGTTTACCTTTCTTATATGCAATTCCAAAACTACATAAACCTCCAATTAAGTTTTGATTTATTAGAACTTCAGTAAATACCATCACCAAACCAATAGCTATCATATTAAATAAAATTTTGGATTTACTATTTTCTGAAATAAAACAAAAATCTAAGTATTTCAAAACATGTATGCTGGATAATAAAAAAACAATACACATGTATTGGAATGCTTAGAATTTTTAAATTCTTCGAGTTCAGCCTTTTCTGTTCTGACATATGATTTTACTACATTGTATACCAAATTAAATTTGAAAGATTTAATAAAAGTCTAATGGCTGAATAGATGAATTTATGGTTGAAAATATAGCTATTTCTAAATATAAATTTTCAAGTTTACAGTGTAAACACCTTCTGAATTTTTGTGTATTTGATAATTGTATAACCTTTAATGATAAAATATTTAAACAGATAGTAGGCATTCCTATGGGGGCTAATTTCTCTTAAGATATGGCTAACTTGTATCTTTATTTTTTATGAAAATAGATTTATGAACAAAATAACAAATCCTAACAAATATGTATTTACCTTCCATTATATTGACGATTTAATAAAAATCAATAATCCAGAGTTTGGACCATCTGAAATTTATCCCGAACCTGAATTAGAATGTAACAATAGTTTCATAGCACACTATTTAGATCTAGACATTAATTTGTCAGAAAATAAAGTGCAGTTGGACATATTTTATAAAAGAAGAGAATTTAAATTTTCTATCCTAGGATTGCCTTCCCCAAATAGTGTGGTACTATATACAATCTTAAAAGGTATAATTATTTCTCAAATTAAAAGATACGTAACAGTCTGCAATAAAAACTTTCTTTTTTTTTATATATAATGTAGAATTGTTAAAAGATAAACTTCTGTTGAATGGTTATAATAATTATGAAATTAGTAAAATCTTTAAATTATTTAATATTAAATTTCATTAATTACTTTGTCAGAAATCAAGGCTGGTTTAATACCTTATTTCTATTTTTATGGGTTTTTTTTTAGGTATAACTATCTTACCCACAACCAGCTATAGACGGTGAGTAATAGTGGGATCTGGGATGTTGTGGGTTTTAGCACCCAGATCCTAATCCCCCTTTTTTGGTTACGTGCCGACTAGCTCTGCATCTGTTGAAGAATCGTATGTCCAACAACAACACAGTATGTATATATACACACACACACACACACACACACACACACACACACACACACTATTAAGAAGTATAAGTAAAAGCCTTTTATTTTGACAATTGGTGAAAAGAAATATATTTTAAATTCTGACAGTTTTGCACACAAAAGAATATCCTACTACTTCTGTATTACAATATAGCATAGCTTTTGAGATGAGAAGTACATGGATGTTCAAGATCTGTGATAATATGTGGTAGCCCTTGGCATGAATTATTACTCTGAAGCAGTTTTCACTAAAAGAGTCATTTGTGCAACACTCAGTTCCTTGTTGCTACTCTCTTCTTTTTATGCTTTCCTAAGTCCATCAATCATGTACCTATGACAAATTCCATGTTCTATTTGAGCAACCCAAAGACACAAGTTCATGTTAATTTTTGCAGATGGTGTAGCATGAATTCTGGTTTGTATTTGCATCTTGAGAAAAACTGCCATGTTGGCTCAGATTTATGTATGTGTGTGTCTCATTAGAGCCATACCTTATTGTCATCTAGTCTGTTCAAAAAATGGTATTTCCTCTTCGTACACTGATGTTAGTATGTTAACCTGATACCATGTAGAGTTCAACTCAGTATCTTTCTCAATTCTTCAAATGTTAAACTTTTATAGTTGTAACCAGTTCTTGGAAAAACAACATAAAATTTATGAAATTTTGTGTCATAGACAGGGTCAAAATAAATTGTTCATACTTTACAAGCATCTAAGTAGACATATAATTCATCCAATGTGATGACGTACTACCTGATACCACTCATGCAGCTTTGGCATTCAGTCTTTCATTCAGCTGTGTGCTTTTGGAAAAGCTTGTAAATGTGGCTCTTATATAATCTCACTTCTGCATATCTAAGTTCATTAAATTACTTTGTTTACAGTTCTAAAGGAGGTTTCCACTTTATTTGCAATGTTTTGCTGTTTTCTTAGGTTACTTCTGGTAACATGCAGTTTAACTTTCTTCAGTGTGTGCCTTTTAGCTAATCATGGAATAGTCTGTTTTTTTCTTTGCTGATATTATGTCTTTTCTTATTTTGCTTATATAATTCAACACTACATATACCCTCCCCTTTTCTTTGGAATGCTGAAATTTTGTGCCTTGCATGTTTTGGTAATTATATGATAAGAGAACTTTACCTTGGAAAGTCCTGTAATGTAATTCTTCAAGAAGGGATCAACTTTAGGTTCCATCAGTACTTGCAAATCACCACATTTCATCTGAATTGAAGCAAAAAGGTCAGAGCTTTTAATCTGTCTAGATGAAGGCCAAGGAGATGACCATGAATAAGGTAAGTGGATAAGCATACTGTTACCAAAAGTCCTGAGTAACCCTTGATCCCTGTCCCACCAAAAATGCTTGCCCTTTCATCCATGGGGGCATTATAATGTGACGGTCAATCCCACTATTTCTTGGTGTGAGAGTTTGCGATGGGTGGTGATGACTAGTTACATTCCTTTTAGTCTTTCACTGCTAAATTAGGGACAGCTAGCGCAGATAGCCCTGAAGTAGCTTTGCGTGAAATTCAAAACAAACAAACAAATAACCTTTGATATTATAACTCAATTTGAAAAGGTAAACATTCCAATTCAATAATGAAGATTTAAAACTAATTGAACTGTTAAGTGGGAATTATTCAAGCTGAATATGTAAAAAAAAACAAAAAACTGAGTTCACAATGATGCCCTCAGAACAGCTAACTTAAGAAAAATTTGGGTAAACGTATTAGATTACAAATACTTAAACTTACTCATATAAAAAGACCAACTTAGTTGTAGATTATCATAAATAATAAAGCTCAACAGATTATAATGCAATTATTTCAGCTTAGCAACTGAGATTATGAAAGTTCTAGTTCAAAAACTGTAAAGACAAAATTGTCATGGATGATTAAGTAATTAACATTATAACGTACCATCCAAAGTAATAAGTATTTCAGCTCAACATCTTAAGTTGTAATCATTCCAGGCTAATTGATAAAATTACATACATTCCAACTTCAAATTAAAAATGAAAATTTTTCTGACCCAAATGATGAAAAACATTTTTCAGGACAGTAACTGAAATGACAAACTTTTCAGCTAAACAGTTGAGGTGACATAATCTAAGTGAACAGTTAGGATGACAAAGATTCCAGCTCAACAGCTGAATTGCAAAACACTGCAGTCAACCCTTTCTAGTCTGAAGAGTATCCTCTATTCACACATGAAATGTTGGTACAAATTTTCTAATATTTGGTATAGTATTTGTATAATTTTTTTAGGTATGAAATCTCCAAAACTTTATTGTGTAGCATTTGATTGAAAAACAATAAAAGAGTCCCATAAATTTAATGGGTTTTATTGTTCTTTTCTCTACATTTTATATATCTGCCCATTTTTAACTTGTTTGATATTCATCAGTATATTTTGATACTTTATTTTGGCAATTGAAGTAATGAACTTCCTACTATAAGTCATACCCTATGACCTCACCTTTCAATATGGTGACAACATTACACTTGTAAGCTTAATAGCATGATATTTTGCCAACAATATTATTTGGTTGACATAAATCTGTATCTGATAATTATAGCTTGTTTTCAGCAAGCAAGAAGTTTTTGGTGTTTAATTTTTCCATCATATTCAATAAAAAAGGATTTGTGCCATTGGAATAATTTGCTGTCATAGGCCTTAGCTTACTGAACTTTCCAAATATCAGTATTCTTACCAGGTGTATGTCAGCAAAGAATATTTTTGTAGTTTTAACCTTTTTTCTACAGGCAGGTCAAAATGCACATCATGACTTTGTAGAGAGTTACATTCAAAATTTAATTAAACTACATTATGATCATGGTATATGAATATACTTGGTATAAAAACATAGTTAATAAATCAAATGTTAATACTATATAAGTTGTAAGTTCTGAATTTTATAAGGAAATATTTTAATAAATCCTCAATCTCACCTGAGTATGGTAATAGTGACATTTGCTCTATAGGTATCCCCTTTTCTCTAATTTATTTACAACCCCTTGAGAAGTATGGAATTTAATGTAAATTACTCATTATAATATTGTTATTACTTAGTCAAAGCATAATTTTTATAGCATTCAATCTTATTTGATTATAGAGCTATAAAATAGAAAATGGCACCCCCTTTTGCCATGCCCCTCTTTCACAAATTGCCAATAGTTCTCTCTGACACTTAATACTATATTTTTTATAACCAATAGAAAGCCAAAGTTTTAATCTATCAAATGACATATTACATTGTTTTCTGTACAAAGAATTGTTTATTTCACTTCCAGTTCAAACTTTATTCCCATGTGAAATGCATCAATGAGCTTAGCTGAATTTTTAATGGCTCTTGTCGCGTAGTTAGAAAGTCAGAAGAATTATGATAATTATAGGTTATTATTTCTGGAAATAAATGACCTTATAACACCAAAATGTTGTATTTATGTAATTAGACACTCAATGTTTCACTTTACAGCTTCTTCAGGAACAGTTTTGGTTTGTGTTTTAGTGAATGCTCCTGAAGAAGCTGTAAAGTGAAACATTGAGTATCTAATTAAATAAATACAACATTTTGGTGTTATAAGTCATTTATTTCTAGTATTAATATGTCTTCTATACACCAATATGCACTACGGAAATTAAATAATGAATTATAGGATGTTATCTGCCTTTTACGTGTTATTATTTTGTTTTCTTTGGTGCATTATCTAATAGAATAAAAATTATTTTGTGTAGTTGTACCATTTGTGTAAAAACAAGTATGGTTAAGTTTTATAGACAAGGACTATAAGACAAGACCCAAGTAAGTATTATAGTTCTTGTTTTTCATGTGTATTCTTTACTATTATTATAAAAGTAACTAAAATTTCAAAATTAGAAACGTATTAGGGTTGAATAGGTAAGATAAAGAAAAATAATAATAAAAATTTTCCACAAGGTATGCTTGTGAGTAGCTTACCAGTAGCTTGAGTGTTACATAATTTGATATGGTAACATGAGCTTCATGTTTCCTGGGTGACTTAGAACTTGTATGGTGGGATTATTAGTTAGACAGGGTTCAAAGAGCAATAAAACAATAAAATTTAAGTAGAAACAAATCCATATTGTTACTAGTTTTAAGCATTTAGGATAAAGAAGTCTTGTTTCCTGTTGCAAATTGAAGTCACTCTAGAAAGAAACAAAGGTAATTTGATTCATTTGATATTTTATCTTATGGTGGTTATGCAGACAGTTAATTTGACCATCCCTGTATAGAGTTATGGTAGAGAAAATAATATGAAAGATAAAGTTTTATGGAAAAAAAAATGTTTGAAATTTATTTAGAAGGTTTTAGAGATTAAGCAAATGAAATTTGACAATTTTAAGCTGAAAAAATTATTTTAATCTTAACATTAAAATCACCTTACACTTGGAGCAGTCAACACTTTGAATCCATATGTTCCATACCAAATTAAAAATTTTAATTTTTTGTCTATAAAAGACTTGTAATGCTTATTGTGAAGATACATAAAATGTGTTAAAAGTTACAGCATCCAACGCATCGAATCGATTAGTAGAACCCTTTCCGCCCTTCCTCAAGGTCTTAGGTCCAAGGCCCCGGGCATCATAGAACCTCTGCACGCCACTGAGTAGCAACCGAGTACAATGGTCGTAACTATAAGAGATAATTGTTTGCTTTACTTCTTTATTTACTGTTTTATGTTTTAGCAAAAATAACTTTAAGAACTTATTTCAAAATAGAAATAATCTATATACATATATAATTTATAATAATTGTAATGTGACTGTATTTTACAAAATACTCGTTGATT